AGTACATCTAGCCACACATACACTTTTGATATTTAATTTAAGTAGTCTGCCTATATATAGATTCTACACTAGCTGCTATACCTGCAACCCAATTATGGATGTTGCCTATTTAAACCTTTTGTACTGCAATCCTTACTGTTATTACTAGAACATCTTTATTACATGATGTCAGTCGAGAAGTTCTAAATGCTTACCTATACCCTTAGAACTCCTGCCTTATTTCATGCAAATTATCTTCAAAACATCGTTACTAGAGCCTTCTGTATTCCAAATTACAGCTAAACCTAGTTTACAACTCTTGCAAAGTTCATACAACTCCAGTATCCTCCTTTTACAACCTCACTGTTACCTTGTCTATCCTTGCAAGTCTTTCTATACTACGAATTCAGTTAGCCCTATATAATGCAGCTTTATGCTCAGATCAACTGGTGGCCAGATTGGTTGACCCTCTACCTAGAGGTTCTTGCTCATACAGGTTAACTGTTCTAAGTTTCTGTCAGCAGATTAAGGTCTTCACAGGTGGCACTGTTAAAAATTGTACTATCTCTCAACTTGGGATTTCCAAGCAGACTTCTAATCTGAATATATATTTTTGGGATTTATTCATGTGACATTGCATATTTCCAAAGTTAGTCTTGGTATAACCAGAATTACACGATCTACAAACCCCAGATCACAGATAAGTTTGTCAGAATAGGCCTATTTTTTCAAAATCTGTCACTAATGGGAATTGAACATTGGATATACTGCTTGGAGGATGACAACTCAACTACTACACTAGGATCATCATCCTCTTTTTTTTTGTTTATAAATTTTGTTTTATTGTTTTTTTTTATTAAATTTATATTATTATTTTTTTATTTTTTTTTATATTTTATATTTTATATTTTTAAATTATATTTTTTCTTAGTTTATATTTTTAGTTGATTATAACTATTTTGCAACTATAGTGACATCATCTAAATAAATAAGATTACATAATATACTATATATTTATTAAATATGTATATTAATATACTGCAATATTGTATTTATTTATTTTATTAACTGATTGTACTTTTGTACTATGAAATATTTATAATATAAGATACAGTATACTATATACCAGTACTCTAATTTCTACTTTACTGTAAATAACTTTAACTTTATTACAAATAGCTTCTACTTTACACACATTTTATTCAAATATTTGGACATCATAGAGCATAGTAGCCAGTTTGCTTACATTTTTGGCACTTTTTTAACTTTTTTTCTGAATTTTGTAACATATTGATTTGATTATTATTTGAATTTTTAGTTACATCATGGACTTTACACTGCATTTCTTTACCAGTTTGATTATTACTTGAAGTAGTTATTATATGTTGTCATGCTTTCTTTAAAGGCTCTCTACTAGATTTATATCTTTTTGGTTATCAACCTTTGTATAGTACATGTAATGGATCTCCAATAAACAAGTAATTAGTGTCATATTGTTTGTCAAACAATTTACCTTTCATTTTATCAATAAATTTCTTTATTTGATCAATGAACTTCTTAATTTTATCAGTCTAAATTGCAGATTAAGAGCTTTTTTTACATAATCTATTTCAAGTCCAAATTTTTGTTTAGGTTCTTGTTTTGTTAAATATTAGAGGTTTGTCTAAACTTTTCTAGGTGTTGAAATGACAATGATTTGAGTAAAGGTAGTTCTGCTATCTTGGTTCTTATAATTTAGTATATTAATATTTTCTCTTGATCAATATTATATTTTAATTTGTTATACTAGTAATGAAAAATTAATAAAATATGAAATTGTATATTAGATAAATAAGAAATAGTTTGAAACAATGCCAATACACAATACTCCTATTAATAAGCCAAAAGCAAGTATACAAATATGACCCATCATTAAGAAGAATTACATGTTGTGGTTTTGATTTTTGGCCATGATGTCTAACCACTTTTCACACTTCCAAAACAGAGTTATGAAGTATATTTTCTAACAATAATAACAACATATATTGCAGTATTATAATAATATGTATAGTATAAATAGTTAATAAAGTATAGTATATAATATGCTACATTATGTATAGTATGATTTTATATATTATATATAAAGTAATAAATTATATAAAAATTTTATACATTTAGTATAATATATAGCAAAAAATTTATATTATATATATTTAATTGCCAATTTTAAAAATTCAATATATCAAATAGTATAATAAGAATATCATTCAATGCTATTATATGATTTTTAGTTATATAATAGTATCAAATAAAAGGTTAAATAATATGTCAAATAGCATACTTATTGTGTTATTCAATGTATTAAATTTTTGAATTTTGACTAATATACAATAAATGTATTAATAACAATTTAAAAATTAAATTTGTTTATTATTATTTTTTCTGTAAAACAATAGGAGTATATAAAATTTATAAATAAAAAAATATATTTAAATTTAATTTTAGCTTATACTAAACAAAAATTATTTTTTGTTATTTAAAATAAATTATTATATTTATAGTATATATATATTTTTGCCAGCTAGGTTAAAGATCTGAACCTATTTTTGATTAGTTAAATAATTTTTATTAGTACTGTATAATAATAATTAATATTAGTAATAAAAATTTTAAATTTAAATTTTTTATTTTTGCATTATTAAAAGTTAGCTAATATATTAATTTGAATGTTATTATTACTTATAAATTCTAATTAAAAAAACAAGTATATAATATTAGCTAAAACTAAATTAATAGATTTATAACTAGCATATTATTAAAATAATTAACTTATATTGCAAAAATTTGCATTTAAATCTAATTATTTATTGTATATATGCATTATTTAAAATTATTATAATTTATTATTTATAACCTAATTCTTTTTTAATACTTAATTTATATGCTTTTTTATAATTTATAAGTTTTTTTCTCTAAGTCTTTCTTTTCTTTTTTTCAAGTTTTAATTGTCATTTTTTAAAAGACATTTGTTGTTTTAATTGTATTAATTTATTATCTTCATTAGTTATAAATTTGTTATGCTTCTTTTTATTTGTTGATAAATTTTTAGATGATTTTCTTTTTTATCTATAAAATTTATAATTTTTTTAAAATTACTAAATAAATTAGATACCATATAATTTAAATTTATTTACCAAATCTCTTAATTGATTGTACAGCTTTGGCTATTGGTTTATTATTTTTTTCAGTTTTAGTTACTCTATATTTGTCTTAAATAATACAAGTTATAAATTTTCTATTATCGAATTTTTGTGCTCTAAATAAATATTATTAGTATTATTATTTAATATTAATAAATTATAATAACTAAAAAATAAATTATAAAATTACTTTTTAATAGCATTTATTAAATTTAATCCTTTTTCTTCATGATTAATATCAGCATATGCAAATTCTGCAACATTAGTAGTTTTACCTGCTGTATACCATACTGTAATATCTATTTGAGAATAATAATAATTTAAACTAACTAAAATCCAAGACTGATTATAAAATTCTACCTAATCTAAATAATAATAAATATTTATATTATAAATAAATTTATATATAATATTAAAAATTATATTAATTTAATTTTACCTTTAGCACCATCTTCATTAGAAATTACAATTTGATTTAATAAAATTTGAATTTCATTTTAACTTTTAGCTGTTAAAATATTTTATATTCAATTTTTAATTTGATTCAAAATTTTTTTTATTTGATATATTCCTAAATAAAATTTTATTAATATTTTAAATAAATAATATATTTATAATAAATAATATATTTGTAATAAATAATATATTTATAATAAATATTATCTTTATACCTTTTATAATATAAATAACAAGTTTTAAAAATATAAATAAGATGCTCTAACCAATTTTTACTTGAATCAATTTCTGATAAAGCTAATTTAAGTTCTTTAGCTTGTGCAATATCAAGATTATCTAAAATACAACTCTAACCTTCATTACATATATATCAAATTTTTACTAGTATATTAAATTTTTTTTTTTGGTATTAAGATGACCTTTTTGGTCTTTTGACTTTTATTAATCACTTATCAGTATTGTGGTTCAAT